GGGATCCAGATCCCAGATGGCCAAATGTGCTTCAAATCCTGGCTATGGCAGCTTGAGGCACATGTGTTGCATGGCAAAAGTCTTGATGGGATGGATAAATGGAGAAGAGGAGACTTAAACATTGCCACACTCCATTGGAGGATGCTTCCTCCTCCTCTTCTCTCTCTCTCTGGAGAACAGAGGTTCCCTCTAGCAATAAAAAATATATTTATTTGGAAGATGCCATGGCATCATGCTTTTGACTTTTTTGGTGTGTGTGTGTGTGTGTGTGTGTGTGTGTGTGTGTGTGTTTGGCTACTCCCTCTTTCCACACACACCTACTCCCATTTTCTTCTTGCTACCCATGGAGCAGCTGTCTAAAGTGGAGATTTGTTGCCATCCCTTCTCTACATATTCTCCACACCTATGTTATTAAGCTGTGTAGCCAAAGCATCACTTAGATGCCAGGGCACTAATTGTCCCAGGCTATGCTTTGGCATTTATTTAATGGTAAAAAGTCAGATATGATGTCTCACTTGTTGCAGATATATGAAAGGTCGAACACTGCCGCCCATCTCTATGCCACTACAGAAACTCAGTGTCATCGGGAACTTAATCTGCCACAAAGGTGCCCTGCTGTTGCTCCTGCAGGATGCTGCTTTGCTTTTCAGTTCATCATTAGATAGTGCACTGCTCGGGACAGCTTTCAGTTCAGTATTGCTGATACAAATATTTGGCAGAGTTAGCCTTTGTGGTAGGATTTGAGGAATTCAAAAAGGCTCCTGGCCCAAATATATCTCCCTCAATGGTCACAGTGTCTGAAATATATACAAGAACCATTTCATTTCAACTTTCTCTTTTTGGTTGGTATAAAGCAATGTTAAAATGTGAACACCACTCTACAGAGGAAAGACAGGGATTATCAACTGTTACTATTTTTTAAAGAATTATTTATTTTATTTCTTCTTCTTCAGTTTGACCAGGGAAAGACACACAGAGAGAGAGAGGGAGAAAGTGAGAAAGCAAGCTGCCGAATCCAAGACTCAAACCATAAGTCAGCCGTGTGGGAGTCCAGTGCTTTAACCACCCGCCACCTGCCAGCCCCCAATTAGCTATTACTATTACAATACTAAGAATCAGAACTACTACAGTGGAATCCTGCTTCTGTTTCTAGCTATATGAGCTTAGGCAGTTTGCTCATTCTCTCTGAGCCAATTTCCCCTCCTGTAAAAATGCGGTTAACAATAGATGGCTGTGAGGGTTAAATGTGATAATGCATGTAAAGCATATAGCAAATGCTCAATGAATGGTAGCTGTTATTAGCCTTAGGGAGAGTGGGACCCTGAAGGCATATATTTAGAACAAGTAAATTTGCTTTGTAAGGAACCAGGTGAGATCTGGTAGAGGGATACTGCTCAGAGCAAAGGCCCCGGTGGAATGGAGATATATGACTAGGGAGTGGCATGGACACTCCAGGAACCTCACTTGTTAGAGGGCTATGGAGGAAGAGGAAGGATTGAAACACAAACTACAAGTACACTTACATGAACTTTATAACAAGAAAAGTGTACTCTTACTCAGGATGTGATGCTTTGTGAGATAGTGACCTCTGACACCGGGTGTGTCCAAGAAGAGCCTGGCTGCTGGCTATCTGCTGGAAAGACTATGGCCTACCCTAGGGCTTCTCATACTTTTATCTATGCACATATTATCTCAGTATTTTGTAAAAATGTTGGTTCTGATTAAATAGGTCTCTGGTAGGGCCTGTAATTCTGTATTTCTAACCAACTCCCCAATAATGCTGATGCTCCTGATCAACAGGCCTCACTCTAGGTAGCAAAGCTCTGTTGCAGTTTGAAAATAGCTCAGAGTGAGACAGAGGGACATGATTGGGGAAAATCAGTGAGTTACCCAGTTAACATCTCCAGAGTGGAAAGACTTTGATGCAGTCATGATCTACAATTTCGTTCTTAGCTTTGTAAGCTTTGAAATGTGATTGGTAGTATAACTGGTGACTGGGCTCCTGGGGACTGACTCACACTTAACCAAATTCACAAGAGGCCAATATATAAGCCAGAATACCAATTGATTAATTTATAATGAGAAGTATAACTTCCAAGTAGACCAGATACTAGTGTTTGCTGATCAGTGCATTATCTCCCTGTAGGCATATTTACATGAGTAGCTAAATGATAATAAGAAGGTTGCTTAGTGAGGATGGACTCAGAGCAAGGGGAGTTTGTAGAACGATTTTAATGGTTCATGTTATTAAGCTATGATAGTCTGATATCTCCATTTCACAATTGGCTAGACCTATGGATTAGTTCTGGGGATGTGAACCTCCTCAGTAGTCTCTCTGCCACCAGTCTTGACCTCATAGAATCCAGGTGATCTGTTTGATCCCAGATCTGATAATATCATTCATTTGCTCCACTGACTTTAGTAAAATGTCACAATTTAAAAATTACTATTATAAAACATTTAAAATATACAGAAAAGTTGGAAAAATAGTGCAATGAGCACTCATATACCTACCATCTAGATTAAACAATTGCTATCATTTCACCGTATTTGCTTTATGTATGGTTGTGTACATGCATATTCACTTCATACTTCTTAAACATAGTTTGCCAGTGTTTTGGCACTGTCTACTTGACTAGCTTCCCTTCACTTGCTTTGCAGTTTATTTCTCTGCCACACCTAACAACTGAATGATAGCTCCCTTAATATTCTCTGGTGTTGTCATATATTATTGCCTATGCCTTAATATCCTTACTTTCTTTGCTTGAGTAACACTACTTGTTCTTAAAGACTCACCCACATTGGGGGGAGGGGGCTGGCAGGTGGTACGGTGGTTAAGGTCGCTGGACTCTCACATGGCCAACCACAGTTCAAGTCCTGGACCTGGTGGCTTGATTTCTTACTTTCTCTCTCCCTCTCTCTCTCTCTCTCTCTCTCTCTTTCACTCTGTCCCTCTCCAGTCAAATTAAAAAGTAAATAAATAAAGTTAAATAAAATGATTCTTAAAAAAAAACTCAGCCACATCATGTTGCCATAACACCCTATGATTTTCTCAATCATAACATTTATTACATTGTACTGTTATTGTCACTTTACCTCTCAATCTCACTAGATTGTGAGGTCAATGTCGGCAGGAACTGTATCTTTTATCTCTAAATACCCCTGCCTCTCCAGTGCCTTGCACTTAGTAGGTGTTCGTTAATCAGAGAATCCTATTACATAGCTCTACCTGTTTACAAAATAGGCACCTCAAAATCAACATGTCTAAAGTGAAGCCATCTCTTTACCCACTCTACACATTTGAAATCTCCTATATTCCCTGATTGAATGCCTTCCAGTCTTTCCAGCCAAAAACCTCAGAGCAATCCCTAGTTCATCCCTCTTTTTCATCACCCCAAACCAAGTCTTACTGATTTTACCTCCAAAGTGTATTCCCATTCTGTCCATTTCTCTTCATTTCTAGCCTCTGTCTAGCCCGAGTTACCTTCATTTCTTACCTGAAGCATTGCCAACCATCTTCTATATGGGCTCCCTGTTGCTACACTTCTCCCCTCTGATCTATTAGCATAGAGAAGCTGTAATGGTCTCTAAAACTCAGATTTGATTATATTACATCCTGCTTAAACCCCGATTATATTTATTCCTTATTTTTTTTTATAAAATCCAAATTTCCTAGTAATACATAAAGAACTCTTGGGACTAGCAGATGGTTATGGTTATGTCACTAGACTCCTACGTAGTGGGCCGCAATTCGAGTCCAGGACCCAGCGACTTAAAATTCACACTGGGCATGTGTGTGTGCATGCCCAAAATCCCAAAAGGAGACTGGAGGAGAAGGGATTGCAGCATGGCCATCCTTCCCCCCCCCACCCCCCGCTTTCTGTCTCTCTCTCTCTGTCTCTCCGATGAGCACATGTGCCCTAAAGCAAAATTCTCTCTCTAAAAAAGAAAAAAGAATAAAGAACTCTCAAGAACTGATCCCTATGTACCTTTCCAACTTTATCTCTTACCACCCTCCCTCCTATACCGTAGGTTCCAACCATTTTGCACTTAACAGGACCTGTAGTAATTGCAGATTCCGACATTTTCTGTCTCATGTCTCTGTGCCTTTCTCTGTGTTGTTCTTTGCCTAAAAAGGCTAACCCTTTCAAATATAGAAAAAGTGTATCCTCCTCTGGGAAGCTTTCCCTTACTTCCCAGTCTGGGTTAGATGACTGTTCTCTATTATTCACGACTACCCTATGTATACCTCTGTCATGTTCTTAACTTATATACATATATCACTCTATGCTGCAATGATCGTTTTACTTGTATTTCTCATCAAAGATAATTTATGCACTTTTTGGGACCAGCACTTAGCATAATGACTATGTCATTGAACTTCCATGTAGTCAACTGCGGTTCAAGTCCTGGACCCGGTGGCTTAAACTCATGCAGTGTGTGTGTGTGTGTGTGTGTGTGTGTGTGTGTGTCCAAGATACCCAGAGGAGAATGGAAGAGAAGGGATTGTGGTGTGGTCATCCCCCCAGGGGGTGATTTCTCGTTTTCTGTCTTTCTGTCTCTCCCTCTCTGGCGAGTGCACGTGCCCTGTAGCAAAAACTCTCAAAAAAAAAAAAAAAAGAAAGATAATTTATGTACTTTTTGAGAGCAGAGTTGATGTCTTATTTTATTTTGTACCCAAATGTTCAGCCTGTGATATATAGTAGATGTGCAATAAATATTTGTTTATAAAATAATGAGTGGATAAATATGTCTCTCTAAACTTCATTTTGTAGATGCCTTATAAAATATCTTGTTTCTTCAAAGTATAATATAGTCAATTTTCATTCTAGTACTATAGATTGATTGAACTGTGAGTGTTCTTCACCAACAAATTCAATTTCTGGAATTGTACCATTTCTTAGAGATAGTTGGTCCTACCCATTTCTTTTCCCCTAGGTAATTTTTATGTCAGAGATTAACATCATCGGTGTTAGGGTATACCATGCAATAGGCTCCATATGTCCCCGAGACCTCTAAAGTTCCTTTCCATACCTAGAGTCCATGTTACACAAAATTGACTGTTTATATTTTAGGTGTTGTTTTGTATATGGTGTTAATTTTCCTCTAGCTTTTTCTCAAACCAAAATAATGTCAATTGCAAAATTGTCCCATGCTTAATCTTTGGAAGTAATATTAAATAACTGTTGTGTCAGGGATCAAAGGGAGTGATGATCAAGAATTTAATGTATGTTGGGCTGGAAAAAGTAGATCATATTTCTTTGAACTGAAAAGTGGCTAAGCCTAAACATCTTGAACAGCCAGAACATCATATTCTCTGATTATTACCTCAAAGTAAAAACTTTAAGACTATTTTAGAATTATTCTGTTCATGAGCCTGCTTAATAATAGTATTTAACATATAATTTTCCCACTCTGCTATGCACTGTATTATTTTTTAGAATTATTTATTTGATTCTATTATTATTTTAAAATTTGCTATAGGGCATGTATGATCACTAAAGAGAGACACAGAAAGAGAGAGCAAGAGAGAAAACGAGCCACCAGGTCTGGGACTTGAACCACAGTCGGCCACGTGGGAGTCCAGCATCTTAACCACTGGTGGCCCAACACTGTACTGTTTCACAGGCTTGAACTCTAATTAGCTGAACAACTCTGTGAGGTGTGTACTATTATTATCCCTATTTTAGAGGTGATGAGGAAACTGAGGCACAGAGAAATAAGTTTCTCAAGGTTCAAAGTTATCCACAGTTTCAGACAACAGGTGTTCTAATTCCATTTAGTTCAATGCACATATTTTGAGCGCCCAGTAAATGTAACACTTGTTAGGATGGACACACACTGTACACTGAAGTAAGGACAAATCATAATGCCATGAACGACTCGCCTAGGTAGGTCAGCCTTCTTTCAGTTAGTGAAAGCAGGGAAAGATGTAGTTAAGGTCACGAATGGCATAGGAATATCCATTTTGTGTAAACCAGATCTTTGGAAGGTGAAGAAAAAACTTTTGGTTTGGAAGTGTGTGAAAATGGTAACTTTTTTTTAAGGGTTAAGGTTACTTTTACAAAGGGCGTCTGATACATATTTAGCATTGGGTGAAGGTAAGAAACACACACACACACACACACACACACACACACACACGGGTGACACTTGTTAGGAACAGGAAAGCAGAAAGGTGTCATTTGGAGCCAGCAAAAAGAGGTAACAAACAACACGCTTTTTGTTGCCGCCCGGTAGAAAATCAGTAAAAAGGCTGCTCCCAGCACCACCCACGTACCCCAGATCTCTGGACTACAACTCAACCCCTCTGATCTGCGCTTTTTTGAAGTACTTTCACATTCTGGCGCTGCAAGTCTGAAGCGCCCTTTGGACAAATGTTAGGAGGGAATTGCGTGTTCTTGCGATTCCTAGCGGACTCGAATACTACCGAAAAGCTTTTATGTTCGCGGACTTTATAGCTCCTCGTCCATTATATTTTTCATAAATCGCAGAGACACACCTGGTGACACAGCCTCTAACACGGTCCCATCCTGCTACCCTTTTAAGAGGCGGATCCCGCAGTGTCCTTCCCCCTCTACCCCCAGCCGGCTGGGCGGAGCTTCACGCTAAACCCCCAGAGCCCGGCGCGGCCGCAGCAGTAGCGAAGCGGACTGGAGCTTTCGGGAGCTGCGTCTGCGGCCAACTCTCT